GTGTCAGGACTAAATCTTCAATTTTTTCCGTTACGTTGATAAATGCGAATAACTAAGAGAATTTTTGTTTTGCGTAGGAACAAATCATAGTAATAAATCATCATCACCATCTAAGATTGTTGTCGTTTTAGTTGTCGTGTGCTCGGTATTAGCTGCTGTTGCTACTGCTGGGCTCTTATTGAGGAGAATGATAATAAAACATGAGAGTAAGTAGTTTAACTTTTATTCTTTTATTTATTTGCCTCTGAAGCATGTGGTTTTGTTAGTGCTGGATTTGATTTGAAAGATTTATTACATGCATTCTCGTATTCAACTACTACATATTAATCAGTTAAATTGATCTGTCCATCTCCATCTAAAGCTGATCATGATGTTGATGAGATCTTAGAAGCCGAGTCTCTCAAATATGCTTTAACGACGATCAGAGCTGCCACTAATAATTTCGCCGATGGTAACAAACTAGGGCAAGGTGGATTTGGAGCTGTTTACAAGGTAGTCAAAATTAAGTACTTTGTGCTTCTAATTCTATGTGTCGATTTCGGGTGTTTCGCCATCTTATGTGCCGATTTCTGGTGTTCATCACAGCCTTTCACGTTGATTCGAACTTTTATCGATGACTAGTAGTATTAATTATTCTATTTTTATTTTAATATTAGGGAATACTTTCCGATGGTCGAGAAATAGCAGTGAAAAGATTATCCAGGAACTCCAGACAAGGTGACTTGGAGTTTAAGAATGAGGTCTTGTTACTAGCCAACCTTCGACATAGAAATCTAGTAAGACTTGTGGGCTTTTGCTTAGAAGGAACCGAGAAAATCCTCGTCTACGAATTCGTGCAGAATGGAAGCCTCGATCACTTCCTATTTGGTAATGTTAATGTTATACACTTGCATGATTAATTTCATATCAAATCGAAACATGTAATAAATTGAATATTGTATACTATATACAGACCCCGAATCGGTTAATCGTTCATACTTAGATTGGGAAGAACGCTACAACATCATTGGAGGCGTAGCAAGGGGACTTTTGTATTTGCATGAAGATTCTCAGCTGAAGATCATTCATCGTGATCTCAAACCCAATAACGTTCTTTTAGACGGACTAATGAACCCTAAGATTGCGGACTTCGGCATGGCGAGGCTATTTGGACAAGGAGAGACTCATGGAGATACTAGTAAAATTGTTGGAACTATGTAAGCATTAAGTAATATTTATGTACGTATATATATAACATAAGAAATGACAACAGTCCCGTCACAGAATGATTCCGTCAATGTTACTTTAAATTTTGAAATGATTTTATTGCAGCGGATACATGGCTCCGGAATATGCAATACACGGACAGATTTCGATCAAGTTGGATGTGTTCAGCTTCGGAGTGCTAATGTTGGAAATTATTAGCGGTCAGAGGAAAAACTACTTTCGACATGGGAGAAATGTAGAGGACCTCTTGAGCTTTGTAAGTAAAGATTATCAGATTATGTATGAATCAACTCAAAACTATCGACGAACTAAAAGAAAATTAATGCAAGTTATTATATAGGCGTGGAAAAAATGGCACGAAGGAACACCGATAGAAATGGTGGATCAATGTTTGAAGTCTGCATCAGATTTTATAAGTGAGATGGAAAGGTGCATCCAAATTGCTTTGTTATGTGTTCAACAGCATGCTATTGATAGACCAACAATGGCGTTTGTTGTCCTAATGCTTAGTAGCTCCGACTTAGTTCTGGCGGAACCTTTTGAGCCTGCATTCTATATGCCGGGTGGCTATGGTTCGGAAAGTTCTTCACTCGTTCAAGGGAATAATTCGAGACGATCCAATTATATAAGTTCTTCAAATAGCGCTGCACAAAATCGATCGGCAAAATCGTCAGAAAATGGTATGTCGATCAGTGAATTGTATCCACGTTGAATTTCCAAGAGGCCTATGCATGTGTTTGTCTGTTGTAGCTTATGCCATTTGAATGCTATACCTTTTCCATCAGCTCATAGTACATTAATACTTTGTTTCAATATTTGTAATATGTTAGTTACTGAAAAATATGTAGTTTACCATTTTTTTTTTTTTTTTTTTTTTTTTTTTTTTTTTTTTTTTATTTTACTTTGTATATTTGTTGATACTAACATTTTTCTCATAGTACATATTGTAATCTTTACTTTCTCTTTTAACCTTGTATAGTTATTGATAAATGCAACTTGTATATTTATTGATAAATTATTATAAAAAAATGTTATATTCCGACGAAAAATCATATGGTTATATATTCCAATGAAAATTCTAACAATTATTCCAATGATATAGCTTCCGTCGGGATGATTCTAACGAAATTCCAATGGAAAACTTCACCGTTTTAGATGAATTTGATGATTCCAATGACTATTTTTACAATAATTTTTTACTGTAAGAATTTCCGTTGAAATATGCAATTTCTGTTGAAATTTTTATTTCCACACCCATTGGAAAATTTATCGTTAGAATCGTCAAAATTCAATGGAAATTTCAATGAAAAACTCCATTGAACTTAATTGGATTATCTTATCGAAAATAATAGAATTGGAATAAACGAGGAGCCTTACTAGATTCCTATGTTGAAGCCTCGACAATAACAAGACCTCATTCTTGAACTCGTTATTACCTTGTTCGGAATCTTTGGACAACCTTTTTGACTGCTATTTGTCGGCCAACCGAAAGTTTCCCCTGATTTCAAACCAAAGCAGAACCAAACCATTAAACAAAGTTGGAATTGTATTTTCATTTCTTGTATATATGTAGGAATATTATGTTAGTCAATCACCTTATAAACCACTCCGTCCGAATCTACCACGACCCAACTTGAGTTATCGTTCGAAAAATCATCACTTGCTGCTCTAATTCTTCCAAAACCATACTGTAAGGATTTAGTCGTGCTTAAGGCTGCAAACGAACTGATGAGAGTCGAGCACTGACCTTGTCGAGTAAGATTGATTTTTTTTACCTGCTTGAGCTCGTTGAGTTCGATTTATGACGCTCGAGATTGACTCGATAAAAGAAGACAATAGATCGATTGAAATCAAAATGTTCGAAAGATTGCTCGAGTTCGGCTCGAGTTTGATTCAAATTTTAAGTAAAATTACCATTAATTACATATATAAAATATTGTAATATTTATATACAATGGGTATTTTAGTAATTTACTACATATCTCGAATTGCTCGGCCTTCCAAAACATATGCTCAAGATCGACTCGATAACATGCTCAATCAGCTCGAGCTCGACTCGAATTCGGTCAAACTCGAGCTCAAGTCAAGCTTTAACTCGAGCGCTCGCAAGCCGCTTGATTCTTTTGCAGCCCTAGTCATGCTAACCTCGTTCACTGTGTAAAGTCACGAGTAAAAATGGAACAATTCATAATTTTAATTATCCAAAGGATCAATGACATGTGAAAAAGTACTACATTTTATTAGACTACTAAAGTGCCCACGATGCACGTCGTGGTGACTATTTTTGGCCGATTAAGTTTTGTAAAATAAAATAATTAATTTATTAAATATATCATTGAAGGAACGAAATAAAATGTAGAACAAATGAATTTCTAACGTATTTTTTAAAAATAATATAGTGATCCTAATAGATTAATGATTAAAATAACATATTACAACCTAATAAAAATAAATGTAAAGTGAGTCTCTAATTAATTTAAAAAAAAAAACACTAATAACTAAATAAGAACCTAAAGTGTATTATAAATGCATTAGTTTTTTTTATTCATGTTAGATGATTCAATAGTGAATCATTAAAAATTGTTGATATTTTTTTTAATCATTGTATAAACTACTATATTACTCTCTCTCTACATATAGACAATTTGGTACCTACCATATGGACGCATCATCCATAGGGTAGGAACGAATTTCAATTTAATGTGTCCACTGCTGGCGAGTGGCGGGCCCACTGCTGCAGCTGAGCTGGCGCGTGTTGCTGGGAGAAAGGCGGTCATGGCCTATCGCCCGAGCTGCTGTTCCACGAGAAGGGCGCGTTGATGCGCGTCGGAGATCGAGTTGGGAACAAATAAATTCAGCGTGTCTTGAATCGACAAATACAACCCGTCGATATACCGAGAGATGAGTTGATCAGTCGCCTCGCGCACATCGGCCTGTGTAAAAAGCTAATAAAATTCATCGGTGTAATCATCCACCGAATGCGTCCCTTGTCTCAAACTTTGTAAACTCTAATAAATGGTACATACATAGTTAAAAGGAAGAACTCACGTTCTACGTGTTTCCGAAACTTCGCCCAAGATGTAACTTTGGGTTTCTCAAGTTGGCGTCGTGAGTTCTTGTGATGTTGCCACCAAGCGGCGGCCCAGCTGCGCAATCGGGTCTCGACCAAAGCCACGCGCCGATCATCTGGCACCTCCTTACAGTCAAAGGCAGAGTCGACTGCTGGCATCCAATCGAGGAACTCCGACACGTCCATGCCGCAGTAGAACTCTAAAATGTCTATGCGAAAAGACGAATCCCACCGACGATCGTTGTCCCAAAAATCGTCGTATCGCGTTTGATGACCAAAAGGGTTGAACTCATAGAAGTTGTCTTTGTTTCACTTTCTCCTACCCGCGAGTGAGGCGACTGGGAACGGGGTGCCCCTCGTGGGCCTTGACAGCGATCCCCGCACATCCCTCCACGTCCCCCATCGTGGGTGCGGTTCAACCGGTCACGTGGGTGTAGGAAATTAAATTTTGAGCCAATAAAATGGTGACAAGTGTCAAATTCCATGTCATAGTCAATTTAATAATTTTCCATTTTATTTGAGAAATTAATCAAATTTTATTCCTAAATTAATAGTTAATTAGTTGATTATTTAATATATGTCGTTGGTCAATTAAAGAATGCCACATGTATATTTTGAAGGTCAATTAAAGAATGCCACATGTTATTTTCTTGGAGAGTAAAATAAATAATTATTTCTTTTAATAATTACTAAAGAGATAAATAAGTGAAAATTCATTGACTAATCAAATTGAAGTCTTCTTTTCCAAGACTCTCTCTCTTAATTATCTCTTTAAATAATTATTAAGAGATAAATATTGGAAATTATGGACCAATCAAATTGAAGTCTTCTTTGCCAAGATTCTCTCTGCCAAACCTATAAATAGGGACTTAGTGAAAAATCACAATTCATATTCAAGTCCACAAGTCATATTCAAGTTCAAGAGCTCTAGAGAATTCTCTCTACAAGATTCAAGTGTTCTTGAAGATCCAAAGGCAGAGATTCAAGTGTTCTTGAAGATCCAAAAGCGTTCTTGAAGATCCGAAGGAAGATTCAAGTGCGTTCAAGCCCAAAACCGACGTTCAATCTGAAATCAAGCTGCCAAGCCTCCGAATTGCATTATTAAAGTCAAAGTGTTTTGAAGATTCAAAGGCGTTCTTGAAAATCCGAAGGAAGATTCAAGCGCGTTCAAGCCCAAAACCGACGTTCAATCCGGAAACAAGCTGCCAAGCCTCCGAATTACGTTATTAAAAGACAAGAGCGGCGTAGAGAAGATCAAAATCAACTTTGTGATGAAGACCAAGGACTCGTGTTCTTCACGAAATCACGACGTTCGATTCGAGATCAAGTTGTCAAGCCCTCGAAGAAACGTTATTTAAATCCATATTCAAGACCGACGGAGATCAAAATGAAGATTCGTCTCCAAAAGTCTCAAATCCATTTAAAGATCGTTCTTGAAAAAATTAATCAGAGGAATAATAGAGATTTGTAATCCATTATATTTCATTTGATCCGTTGAAATCATTTTGTACGAAGTTCTCGTGTTTATTAATTTAATAATACAAAATATTGCGTTACAGTGGGATAGTGGTATGGCTGGCCAGACGCATGTCGTCGAACGCTGCGGCCGAGTCCACAATATGACATCCCATGACATCAATTTGCCGGCCAAAGCCCGCGGTGATCTCCACGACTTGTCAACTCAACGACTCGATCGCGGCATCATGCCTTTCGTCTGTGGCCTCGGTCCTCTTCGACAATATCTTGGATCGTATTGGACTCTGCATACCAACTGATGTAACGAAGAAAAAGATACAACTCTCAAACTTATGAATTTTATTTTTCAATCAATTTGCCTCCAAAATAAGAAGAGGGGTTCTTAAATAAAAATTCTACAAAGGCCTAAGTTACTTCACTTGTTTATCAAGAAAATGATTAGAGAAATAAATAAATATTACCTACCAAATCTAATAATGCAAATAATCTATATCTATATATGTAATTGTTATCTAATCATTAAATAAAACCTAATAAATTTTATCAACATGACACTTTCCTAATACTATAACTGTTATAATTCAATATTATTATTATTACATTAATCCACCTTATCCCGTTAATGATAAAAAGTATTTCCTTGCATTTTTTGGGCTAATTAAGATAAAAGTGATTTATTTTATATTAATTGAGTAATAATTATATTTTTAATGTATCATATAATAGTTATTATTAAAATTCGTATTTATATCTTACAATAAATGATATAACAAAGTTACATAAACACAAATAATTATATTGTAAAAACATTTTGTTCAAGTTATTATTCTAAAATCAATGTTATATATTTTTATCTGAGTAAGCAATTATTTTTTAAATAAGTTATTTATTTTAATGTCATAGTAAAATTCATTAAAATCGCATAAGCAAATTGTTATAGTAAATTTAATATTTTTTAGCTCATTAACTGGTCATGATCCCTCAAAGGGCGGGGAGGCAATACTAGTTATCAGGTCATGCTAGTCTAGAAAAAGAGCAATCAGATAGTTGGAATTTTTTATGGCAAAAAAAAAAAGTGGTGGACAAAAAAAAAAGAAAGAAGGAGGTGGAAAGAAATCAAAAGCACGTATTCCTTGAATACAACTTTTGAAAAATTATTTGGAAAACGTATTCCGTGAATACGTTTTCCTTTGTAAGAAAAAATGTGAAAAACGTATTCAATGAATACGTTTTTTCATTAAATTATACAGAAAACGTTTTTTGTAAATACGTGTTTTTTATGTTGGTCCACTCCCCTTTTTTTTCTGTTTTTTGTCCACTTATTATTTTTTATTAATAAATATATAAATCGCCCCAGATAGCTGGCCACATTTATTTATTATATTTTATGCAATAATTATAGTGATTCATATGTCATCAAATTATATTTACTATTTATTTTAATTAATACTCGAATTTTAAAGCATAATACCTTTACTTAACTTATAGTTTAATAGGTACGAAGAAATTAGAGCTTTTTTCCTAGTATGCACTAGTTGGGGCATGGAATACGACTATACGAGTTCGAAATGACCTTATTTGGTCCTTGCATGCACTAAATAAATTTTTATGGGAGAAAAGTTCAAAAAAGACCATAAAACTTTGTCAAGTCAACCACCAAATTCAGATTAAAATCAAGTGGCCCGTGTCTTACATTTGTTATTTTTACAACTCTCATCATTGATTTTCTTTTCTTTGTGGAATTAAGGGGGCGATTGTATATGAATTGTACAGTAAAAAAATCAATCAAAACTCAAATTTAACTCAACTTTAACTCAACTCCACTATTTCCAATATTATTAATATAATTAATAATTATCAACCAATCATTGTTACACTTCACATCAACTTTAATTCACTATTCATCCACTCACATAATTTCAACTAACCATCACTTCCAATCACTTTCTCATACTTTTATATCAAATCAACTTTAATTATTTTATTTTAAATATTATTTTAATATATCCACTAACAACTAACAATACCACCTTTTTTCAAACTTAACTATAGTTAAGAGAAAACTAGTTTTTAACTAGTTGAATCCATATCCAATCACGCCCAAAGTCTTTTGACTTGCGGAATTTTTTAAATTTCAGTCCATTTCATTTATTGAAATGCAAATTCGGTCCTCAGGGCGACCTATTATCCACTCATTCAATATATTTTTTTATATTTTATTTTTAATAAAAATAAATTTTAATATTTTTAATTTATAATAATAAATTTTAAATGCATAAAAATAAAGTAACACTACAAGACCAAAATAACTTAAATTAAGATTACAAAAAAAAAATAATAATAATACAATTACAAAAAAAATAATTTTTTTAGTTGTTGGCAAAATGAGTTAATAAATAAATAAAAAAGAGTAAATAAATAAAAAGAAAAAAGAGTAAATAAATAAAAAAATAAATAAAAACAAAAAAAAGAATAAAAGAAATAAAAGCATGCGCTACATTCAATACAAATAGGATTTGTTGTACCTAAAAAAAAATTACAAATCTATACTTATATTAAAAGTCATACTATTTACCAAAAATAGTAGCAAAAAAAGTCAACTCACATTTAATGCATACTTTATTTAGAAATTTTTTACTATATGCATTGATTGCTTACATATATATATATATATTTCCTATTCAAATATGATCAAAAAGATTATTTCCTTAAATAATTTTATGAACTACTGCAATAATTTTACTGATATATATTATAATTCATATTTGTCGATAGTATTTTTAAATTTTTATTTGATTATATAAAAAACAAATATTTTTTTAAAATTAATATTTTATTTATCATTTAAGAGATAATGATCACATCATCATTAAATGATATTACTGAAGGCTAGATAATAAATTAAAATACATTAATTATTCTTTAAAATTTTGGTATGTTATTTATTTGTATCTATACTTATTATATAAGTTATCCTATTTACCAAATTTAGTAGATTGAAAAGTCAACGTAATTAATGCATTGCTATTTCTATCCAGAATTTTATTTAATTATTTTATTTATTTGTCTTATATCCCATAAA